CCCCAAAACCCCAAAACCCCAACAATCTTATATGACTAAAATTGAATAGAACTATTAACTAAATAAAGAAAGTATGTGGAATAAGCACGCCGTGATTTCATGGGTTGATGTAGCAGATTTTGTTATTTTTAGTTGATGTGAGGCTTACTTTATGTCCGAACAAGTCCTTGATATTGTTGATACCGTAATAGATCATGGTAGGTCTCTCCAAACTAAGTCCCCAAGCAATAACGCTGACATCTTCTGGCAAGCCCATAGGTCTGAGCATCTCTGGTCTGAATACTCCTGAGTTACCGATTTCTACCCACTTCTTAAGTTGAGGGTGATACCCAAAGACTTCCATTGAAGGTTCGGTGTATGGGTTATAAGCTGGCTTGAATTTCAATTGTTTAATACCGATTTTCTCGTAGAATTCTTTCAAGAGACTAATCAAATGTGATAGTCCAATATTACGATCTGCAATGAGACCTTCGACTTAATGGAACTCAGCTAAGTGAGTAGCGTCAAGAGTTTCATTTCTGAACACTCTATCAATTGAGAAATATTTCATTGGCTTGAACTCTTTCTGGTTAGCAAGGGCATAGAGCATTTGTGAACTTATGGCTGTGGTATGAGTTCTGAGGAGATTCTTCCTGGCTTCGTTGACATCCCATTTATATTAATATCCTAATGATCCGAATCCACCTTTTTCGTGAATATCTTTAACTCTCTCGCCATATTCTGCAGGGAATTCCTTACACAGAACTGGCTTTTTAAGGAAGAAAGTATCATGCATATCTCTTGCTGGGTGACTTTGTGGCTAGAAGAGAGTATCGAAGTTCCAGAAGGAGCTCTCAACATATCTGTTAGTTGGCATTTCATTGAATCCCATCTCAAGGAGAATTTCTCTGAAGTGGCTTCTTACCTTTAGAAGAGGATGTAGATGACCGCCCTCTGGGTTAATTCCAGTGGAGTTGAAGTTGAAACTCTTGAACTTAGTATCTTTCCAAGCACCAGTTCTGAGCATATCAGCTGTAAGATCAGTCTCTAGCTTAACTCTGACTGGAGCAAAGTTTGTACCTTTGGTTACCTTATAATGCTTTTGGGTAACAACATTCACTAGCTTTCTCTTCTTCATTTAATCAATAACTTTCTTGTCGTGATGATCAAGATCTGGGAATTCACTATACTTTCTAAGTTGATCTCTCTCAGTATCTTCGAGGTTTTCAGCTAATCTATTGACTAGTTCTTTGTTATCAGGAACTAGTTGAACCCACTTTCTTTGCATAGCTTTAGAGAATCCAATCTTTGCCAATTCAGCTCCAATTTACTTATCATATTCAGCTTTGTTAGTAGGGGTATTCAACTCAAGGCCTGAAGCGTACTGGAACTCAGGAGTTCCTTTCTCAGCATATTGAGATCCTTCCTCAGTCAATTCTATTAATTTCTTTTCAATAACCTAGAGAGCAATATACTCCTCAGCTGAAAGACTTTTTAATGACTTATCTAACTCAATGTGAGTGATGTTCAGTTATTAGGCTAGTTGAAGTGTATCATCAATAGTGTTGTTTTTATCTAAATGTTGCAAAATATGAGCTTGCACAGCAGAGTCTGATGTATTTTCTACCATTTCCTATATGATAAAGATATTAATTAATTAATAATAGTTAATAATACTGAAAGCTTATCAATAATTATAAATTTAACAATGGTCAAAACCAATGATAATTCAGTAAACACTCTAACTCACTTAAAATTAAATTTAGAACCATGTTGCACCTTGGAAAAGTTCAGTCGCAGGCAGCGTTGCTAACCTTGCAAGTTGTATATTCCATCCATTAGAAAATGTCAAACTTAGATTTCAAGGTAATACATCATTTTATATAAAACATGATTATTAGCAAGTAATCTGGCGAAAAATAACCCCATTCCTTAATATAAAGGAATTATCGATGCCATGAATAAAATGAGAATTGAAGAGGGTTTTCCAGTTCTATATAGAGGAGTTCTTGTCAATATGATTGCTGGAACAATCGCTAATAGCATATTCTTCTACGTCTATTCAGATGGAAAGAAAAGATATAACTATGATCCCAAACAGCCCTACTCATTGAAAACAATTTTCATATCAATGAGAGCTGGACTAGTTTCAATGTTCCTAACTACTCCAATGTGGACAATTAAAACTAGGTTAGCTTTATTTAAAGAACAAACTGGGTTGCCTGTAAGTTTTATGAAAAGCCTTATTCCATTTTAACATTTTATTACAGAGTTATTTGGCACTTCAAAATATAATTCAAGATATGTACAGACATGAAGGGATCAAGGGCTTTTATAGGGGATTTCTACCAAGTATATTTTTATCTGTATATGGAATCATCCAAATGTTTTCGTATGAAAATATTAACCATCTACTTGGGTATAATTAAAGTAGCCAGAAGAAAGATATGTGGATTCCATTTTTCACAGGAGGCTTTTCTAAGTGTTTTGCTTCAGTTGCACTCTTGCCAATGAATGTTGTTAGAATGAGACTACAAATGAAGAACTACACTGTTGAGCAAATTAAACAACTTAATATAGAAACCAGCACAAACTATAAAGAGCAAATTCACTACAACGGAGTCATAGATTGTTTCAGGAAAATCTATAAGTATGAGGGTATTCCTGCATTCTACAAAGGACTTACACCCCTAGTTGCAAAGGTATTCCCAGGAAGTGGAGTATTTTTCGTTGCCTATGAATCTACTCTAAGACTGCTTGAATAAAAATAATCAGAGTGATAATGAAAGAAAGTTGTATAGAAATCGAAAAGATAATCTAATACTTTAAATTGATCTGAAACTTACTTTATTTTTACGTAGATGTAAATAATTTAATTATTAAAGACCATTAATTTCCTAAAATAATATTTCTATCCATAGAATGATAACTTCTACCTCGTGGGGTTTTGGGGTTTTGGGGTTTTGGGG